CGAGTTTTTGCTAATTCGAGACTTATTTGTAATATTTATTAATGCACTTTATAGAGCTATTTTTTTTGCGGTGTTCTCGCAGTTATTTGCAAAACGAAGCTTTCCCTCTGTGTAAAACAATACGAGATGTTAAATCTACATTTTATATTTTACATAAAGCGTGTTGGGGGTAAAATGGAGAACCTTTTTTTAAAATATCTTTTTCTTTTTTTGCAGAATTTTTTTTCGTATTTCATTCAATCATTTGCTTAGTTATTCAACCAAAAAAAATTAATTGGCCTTAAAGTACATTCAGGGTTTCGAATAATAATTGAACTTTCATCACATTTAGATATGCTTGGATAACATTAGACCAGCAGCGAATTTAGAGGGGAGGACCGGGTTGCGGACGCTTCCTCCTTTTCTTAGAGATTCGTATCCCTTTTGTACTAACTTTTGAGATATCTCATTTTGGCTGTTTGACCCCTTTGTTTTTTTGGATCCGCCCCTACATGAAACATCTCGGTTTACAATGTGTTTACCTTTTTCCCTTTAAAATTTTTATTTTTCTGAAGCAGTTATGTTACACGTTATATTTTGTCGAGGTTCAATTATTCTTTATATGAGTAATATTTTCTAGCAGTACACTGATGTGCTTTTTAAAGCAAAATCTAGTGAATTTTTTTGCTTAAACAGTTTTTCTTTCATTGGGTTCTTTCCTTCATGGGAAACAAAGTCAATAGCAGGTTTTTCTGTAAATTGAACGCCTCAATGAAAATTACTTTGATTTCAACCGATGTAAAATGGTGATATCAACACCCAGAGGCGAAACTGAGATTCGCACCACTTGCAATACAACACAAACAAACAAAAAACATAAACCGATAAAACTTGAATGTTGAACAAACTAGGTTAGCCAAAAAGCCCAGCGTGATATTGTTTGATTTTGAATGAATTTGCTATTCTGATGCGGCACGAAAGATGCGGTTTTAAAAATTTGACTTTGACCAAAAAATTAGTTATTTCTCCATTAAAATAGATGAGAAGAGAAAAAAACTTGAAATAATTAATTTTCCTAAGAAGATAAAAATTCTCTAGCAAGGAGTCGCCGCTTGCACAGGAACAACTATTGCAATCGGTTCTTTCAATTGTTCTTCTCATCTCAGATATGTTCGTGTAAATTTCAAAAAAAAATTCAATAAATTAAAAAAAAACTGGTCAAAAGTTCTATAAAAAAGAGTCAGAGACTTTTCAAAGCCCATAATTTTTTTTTGCAAACGTATGTTGTGTCCGCTTAAGCAACCGGGTTTCTCAATTAAATACAACCTGAGAATTTTCCGGGTAGTTTTCGTGTAAATTTAAAAAATTTCCAAGCAACTGTCAACGTTTTAAGGCTGTTTTAAGCAAACTAAATGTTGCCAATTAATAACGTAGGTTTTCAACAACGTATTGTTTCAATTAAATCTATAAGATCAGATTTAGCAGTCATCAAAAAATGGTCATCAAATCAATAGTTAGACATTTCCGAGAATCATAGATTTTTATTTTAAAAAATGGCATATCCGTTTTTGCAGAAGGGATTCGCTCAACCTGTGAGTTCAATTGAAAACATTATCTCGGATTTGGGAGGGTAGCTCTCGAAAAAAGTCAAAAACTTCAAAAAACCGTTCAAAAAATCAAATTGTTGATTTTTCCAAGGGCCATAGTTTTTGGTGTCAGAAAAACTTGGATACATTCGTAACATCAAATGAGCTTCACACAACCCATTCTTTGAACCGAACACAAATTCTCAGATATGGCAGTGTAGTTTTTGAGAAGAATCAACAAGTTTAAAACACGGTTAAAAAATCAAAAATTTGACTTTTCCAACAGCATTAACTTTATGCGTCAAAAAATTGTGAGTTGTCGCTGATTTAGGAAAGCTTCTCATTACTCGTTATCTCCATTGAAACTACAATATCGTATCCGAGATGTTGGTTTTCTAGAAAATTAATAAAGATTCACAAAACGTCTGAAAATCAAAACTTTGCTATTCTGAGGGCAATAAATGCACGTGTGAAAAAAATTGGGCGCTGATGTAGGGAGCTTTTCACAACCGTTCTATTCAGTCAAAACGTTAAAAAATCAAAAGTTTGACTATTCCGCGGGCCATGAATTTATGTTAAGAAAATTGGCCGCAGCGAGCGTTGTTAAAAATTGGCCGCAGTGACTATTCCGCGGGCCATAAATTTATGTTAAAAAATTGGCTGCAGAGATTTTTTCCGAACCACTTTTTTCCAATGAAACCAAAAACAGATTGGAGATAAGTTTTCGAGAAAACGAAAAAAAAATCAAAAATATGGGTCCAATATTTTCCCACAGAGTTTTTCGAAGTTTGTTGCAGAAGAGTCAAGTCAAAAGAGACTCTAGGGGAGTATGCAGGCACAGAGAGGAGTAAGAGGTCTTTCAATTGATACCCTATTTTCATAAATCAATCAAAAACTCTGAGAAAAACAAAAGTTTTCCAATACATAAGGTAAAGAAACAACTATGTTGAAAAGGCCGGGGGAGTACTAAAATTGTGTTTTCATTAACACTACCCAAAATTTGGTGATTAAGCCGATAAAAAGTAGGGCGAAATCATAGTGAGTAAACCAAAAACTAAAAGCTACAATAAAGAAAAATGCGCGCAGCAAAAAAAAACAATTCTAAGATGTGACAACTAAGTCGACAACAAAAAAAAACAGACAATTAAATGGCGTACCATTTTATTTGAAACAGAAAAATTCCGTCTGAAAAAAAGTTCCTGGTCAGATTGAACCCAGGATCTTTGCCGTCCCACCGTCCTAGACATATGCGTCACCTCCAGGCTAAGTTGGCCGTGAACGCATAGAAGTTTGAATTCCTTAAGAAACCAAGATACAAGTAATTCAGGTGGTTCTGTTAAACAAGTTGTTAATCCAAAAAATCTACATTCTGGTTTGATAACGCTTGCTAATTGCTCTTAAAATATCTTGAGATTGCTTAAAAAAATGAAAACGGTAGAAATATTTGCCTTTTTTGTTATATTCTTTTTTGGAAGTAGTCGATGACAAAGCGTGCCAATTGCATGGGAGAGGTCAATTGTGTCAAAAAAGCGTGTAATTGAGGGCGCAGAGGAGGGTTAAAACCGCCGTTGGTGATGCGAAGCTGAAGAGTAGAACGTGCAGCAGTAGGCGTTGAAAGGAACAGAAGCCGCGTGGATACGTGGCTTTTGCGAGGTGCTCCATCAAAAACTGAATAAGCCTATCTTAAGTTTCAGCAGCAAAGGAAATGAACCATTTAGGATGGCTGATGTGTTGATTGGGTTTGACAGGGAATTTATCCTTTTCTGCATGTGAGTATATTTCAAGTAGACAGCACACAGGCCATTTGAGCTGAGTGCTCTTGACAGTTTGCTTTCCGCCATGGGTTAACTATTTAAGAAAAAAATTTTCAGAAAGAAAAGTCGGGCTACTTCGCGTTTTGTTTCCAAAATCAATCATGCCGTAGTAGAAGTTGATATCGGGATTTTTTTGTAAATTTTCTACAACTGATTTTTACACATTATTTAAATTATGTGTAATTTAAATTATGTGTTCTTCGCAACACCAGTCTTGCGACCAAAGGGTAATTGTTTTTCTGTGCAATAAAAATAAATGAAGGGGACCTTTGTTTTTGGGTATTTTAGTTTTTTTTTGCTCTAGAGTTCTTCCTCACGCAAAATCAGCTCCCTCAAAAGTTAGCGAATTGGCTCGAATGATGTATCATATTAAAATTCTGTCAGCCGTGATTTGAAAGACAATGTATTTTTTTTTCGATTTTTGTCTAATTTCGAGCGTCGAAAGGAAGCGAGCAAGCTTATAATAATATTTTTATTAAGTCTTTTGTTTAAGCCGAGAACACTTACTGCCTTTAAACTCCATTTCGAAGTTTCTTTAGTGCATTTTAGGGATTTAAAAACTTAATTAAGTATCCGAATTTTTTTTTGCAGTTTGGTTTGATTTTTTTGCTTTTCGACTTGTTTCTGAAGATGAATGTTGTCGAATTAGCCTAATTTACATTTATTACTGAACATGCCTAAGTTCTAGGCTTTTGTTAACATCCTGTCATTGCATGATTTATTATAGCATATAGCTTGGCTTTTATGTGTTTCTAAGATCTACAAAATAACTATGAAGATTAACCGTTGGGTGCATTGAGTATAGCTAACCGGGTTGACGTCCATACAAGAAAAATGCATATCGAACAATTCGTGTATGGAGTTTATGGAAAAAATGCTTATCATACAGTTTTTATAGAAAAAATTTGTATGATAAGCATTTTTTGAATCAATTTTTTTTTTCGAAAATTATTACCTTGAGCTGGTTTAAAACTCAAACAATACAAATTAGTGGCAGTTAGCAACATTGGCCTCTATGGAAAAAATACCTGCCATACATTTTCATGGATTATGGAAAAAATGATTATACAATTTCATAGAATAAAAAGTTCCTTTTGCTATTGTTATAAAATTTTTGCGAAAAAGGAAGGCAAAAAAACTTGTTAATTAATTCCAGAGTATGGCTACAGATGCTTCTTAGAAAAATTCAAAAAATGGAAAAAATGCTCATTTTGTTATTCTCATTTAATTTCTTTCGGCCTATGAATTGTATGATAAGAACTTCTTTTATAGTATGAAATTGTATGATGAGCATTTTTTGCCAACTCGAGTAATGTAGTCTTTTTTTTGTAACAATACACGTCGCATAAGTGGATTATGATTTTCTTGTTAATAAAAATGACCTAAAATTATTCTCGTGATCTTACTCTTTATGGTCATCTAAAAGGCAGCATGATGGCAAAAAGGCTATCAAAAACTCGTAGATGCTCTGTTGAAATCTTTTTGAGCGTAAATGTTTTGTTCGGTCATTTGTAACCAGTCACTTCACAAGGTTTTAAGATCATCCGCGTTAAAATCATGTCTTCAGCTACTTTTTTGCACACTACGTCCAATAAACAACCAATCGTAAACTATTCTATATACAGATAGAAAATTTAAAAGTTTAAACGTTCTTTTAGATATATTACTTCTGATGCGTGAGTTTACCAACAATCATTTAAGAACTGTTTAAACAACTTAGATTACATTTATAAAAACCATGACTTAAGACTTCATTCAACTCAATTTTCTGTTTGATCTATTTTGAAACGCTCGACAATGCCTGAAAATCCGATCAAGGTTAACTTTGATCTCGAAAAAACAGTCACGACCTCGCTAGTGACTACTGATGGCGATTCAAAAGGATTTGACCCGAACAAAACCGAAGATTCGTTCGGAGGTGGAAATCGGACGGCGCTGCAGTCGCGAGACACTGGACTGGGCGACAGCATCTACCCGAGTACGGCTCAGTCTAGGCTGAGCGTGTCGGTTGATGGAGACGCGATGTTGGGTCGAAGGGGCTCGAAGCGACTCAGCGCCTACAGTGTGTCGAGCGAAATGCTAAAAAAAGTCCAAGTAGGTGTAATGTGATTAATCAAAAGGAAATAAAAACTAATTGCAAATCGATATCAAAATTTGAAGTGAATGTGGGAATTCAAAATTTCAAAAGGTGAGGTCAGTACTTTAAAAGGTGAGAGTTGAGTTAGTGGGAGCGTAATTGTTTCGACCATTTGAAAAATTTGGAGGAACTTTGTATTCGGGTGTGTTTTAGTTTTTTCTTCAAGTTTTCCACAAAAAATCATCGGACTGGATTGAGTGATACATCATATAAAAGCCCCTTCAGTCGTGATTTGAAAAACAATAGAAAGTTTCCAAAAAATCCTCCAAGTGTTGAGAAAACCGGTTTAAAATTTTTGAGTTTTAGTCATTTTTCGAGCGAGTAAAGCGATCGAGCAACGTTCGTTTTATATAAATATTGGCCATTTAGGCAAAAAATTTTATTTTACTTTTAAAAAAAACTGTTTTGTAAGCTTGATTAAGCGCTTTCTTGGCCATAAAATTTTTCATACAAAACTAAATATTTTTTGTCCAAAAAATTAGGAAAAATTTTAGAATGTGCTACTAAAAAAAACATTCTTACTGCAACCGACTGTCCTTGTTGAGAGTAATTTGTGAGCTTTTCTCGCAGTTTGTTATAAAGTCGATTCTTTGATCAGATAAAAATGGATGTTGCACTCGGTTCCTGAAATTGTCGCTGTGAGATTCTGGCTAATGGGCTAACTTCAGAAATCCAAAGTTTTTTCAAATGTTTGATTTATATTTCGCATCTTTACTAACTTATGAACCGAAGCGCTCAATTATACCGAAACACGCGGAGAGCAAGATCACTTCAACGAGGTCATCCGCCGGAGAAAATTAAATCTTTAGCTACTCAGTCCCCCCTTCCCCATATGGTACCTAGTAAAGAATGGCCGCCCTATACAGAACTAATTCAACGGTTGAGCATATGTTAGATTTGTACCTTGTAACGAATCCCCCCTTTGCGATATGGGGTGGATAACGAGGGCTGAAAAATCTTGGGATGTTTCAGGCAAATGCGCATGTGAAGTTTGCAGATGGAATGAAGAAGATGAGGTTCTTTGTGAGGGCATACCAGGCCATCAAGAGCTCCAAAGACGACTCCAAAAAGAGCCACTTGGACTTGGGTGTGTTAAATGTTTCGTCTAAGCAATTTAACGGAGATATTGGAGAGTGAGATTGTCAAGCAAACAGTCAATACACCAGCACTTTGCCTCTTTTACACGAATATCAATGGTTCCTTTTTTTATTATTGACATCGTTATCACTATAGGTCAGTTAAGATGCAAGTTTAGGGTGTTTTAAGGTATTTTTAAAGTAAATTTCACTTTAACTTGTTGCGTGTGCAGTATTGTGTGTGATTAGGTGAATTGGCGGCTCTTCTGAAGGGGGCTCAGGTGGACCAGATGGAACCCCTGCAGGACGAGGACGAGGAGCAGGATGAGATGAAGGTGTTCAAGACATTCAACCCCAGACAGTACACATTTAACGCAGAGGTACACTTTGAAAAACTTGACGGGGGAAACTATCATGGCAGAAAGACTGATTTAACAGCGAGATATAAGGAACAATCAAAAGTTACTAATAAAAATTTTGCAAGCAATAGGTGTAAGAACCAGTAAATATTTGAGCACTTGAATTGATGTTGATTGATCGAAAATTTTCCGGCGTACGGTTCTTTTGCATTCAGAGTGACCCCCCAAGTCTGCAGCTTCCCTCAAAAAACTATTCTTTTAACGGTATCTTAGCGTTTATTGAAATGCCTCTAAGCAGAAACCATGAATTTGCTGTTTCTAGTTCAACAAGCTCAGAACAAAAATGAACTATACTTTGTACAAAAAGGTGCAACAATTAAAAAACAGAATTTTTGTCAGTTAAAAGCCTTAGTTTTTTTCAAATAAGAAATTTAAACTGTCGCAGCGTTTTAGCGTTTTATCTCATTTTGTCCTTTAAAAAATGAGCTAACATGGGGGGCGAGATGTTACTGAGTTTTGCTGGTATTTTTAGTACATGTGGCCTTACGTGGGTCTGGAACCTGTCTGGAGGAAGCCACACGAGAGAGGCATCCGGGACATCCGCATCATCCGGGGTCTGATGAGGGGTCTGCACACCTACCGGAAACTTCCCCGTCTCAACCAGGAGAGAGTGGCCAGAGTTGTGCGTCTGGAGAGGTAGATTCGATACCTATTAAAGTGGGGGGGGGGGGTGAGCTTCCTATCCTTCCTGATGTATCCGATGCGCCACTGCAATCGTAGATCTTAACTATGCCTATTTCATTTCATAATCCGAAGATAAGATCACCAACTCGCTTTTTAATTTTCAATATCAAACCTTCTCATCTGATAACAGTGCAAACTGAGTTCAAAAGGGCTGCTTTTTTGTTATTGTAAAACCATGCTTTATAAAAATTAACTTGACGTCATGTTTTGACAGTTTATACAAATGGGTTAATGCCATTTACCGTGACATATATCACTTTTCCGTGTGTCTATCCATAGTGAAATTGATAATAAGAAGCCGTTACAGACTCTAAGCCGTTACAGACTCTTCGTTTTTCTGCCGTTACAGACTCTCATATGGAGTCTGTAACGGCAGAAAAACCGAATGACAGAAAGTTTGATGAGCCTATCAGAGATCATTATTCAAAATTTGAAAAACATGAAAATAGGTGTTTTCGGCAGTTAGAAAAATGTTGATTGGATGGACATTTTGTGCTTTATTTGGACCTTCTCTTATGCAAATAGTTCTAACAAACAGATTTCGGTCGCAGGTGCACTCGGGGGAGGACGATCACGAGGAAAGGTCACGTGCCCGAGAATTTCTTCTTCATCTACGCGGGCAAAGTGAACGTGTCCTGCTTCGAGGACGAGGAGAGTGTCTACGAGGCCTCTCAAGTGGTCGCTCAACTCCACAAGGGCGACTGGTTTGGGGTCAGTACTATATGCAGGTCGAATTATTCTGAGTTAACACTGATGGCTTGTAGCCAGGGGTTTATGCATTTAATGTTAATAAAAGATAATATTATCGATTAGTATCGATTATTCTTTTTCTTATTCTAAAAGTTTTGACCAACTCCACTAGCTATTTTGTCATGTCCGATATAATCGAAGTTTCATTTACTGTTGTGCTAGCAATTACTTCACAGCTAATTTTATTTGTGTAACATTCGCCCAGCAACAGAAAATAGAAAAAGTCCCCATTGACGACTGGATGGCCTCAGTTACATTATTTTATCCGTTTTTTACCGTCTCGACCTAGCCAGTTGATTTTTGGTTTGTTTAAGGGCTAACCATCGTGTTGTAGCTTTTAGGCGATCAACCCATGGGATTTTACTTAGCTTTCATTTACATGCGGAAATAGCCTCATACTTGGGTCTCGGATCCCCATAAAACATGATTGTTACTAAAACAGGGCTAAAAACCAAAATTATAGATACTTTTATTGACAGCTACATATGAGATCCATTAAAGATGGATTGACCCTTTCCTCGCACGTAACTACTCATGCTCTGAAACAATCAATCAATATTGAGTTAAATTAAATCCGTTCAGGGAATTACAGCAGCTAAAAGATTGTAATTTTTTAAGATTTTTTCTAGGCGCCGGGCCTCCATTTCCGATTTCTCCTAGAAATAAAGTCGTTATCTTTTTTATCTTCCTCTGTTCGGGGGGAGGGTTAGGATCTGTCCCAATTATTCTACCCAACACGGTTCACTTGATCTTGCGACAGAGGCTTTGATTGCATCTCTCAATGTCTCGATTCTTTCTCTTTACGGTACGATTGAAACAAAATTCTTTAGAAAAAAATACGATTGAAAAAAAAATCTCGATTCTTTACGGTACGATTGAAAAAAAAAATCACTTAATTTGAGATGATTCATCCAAGAAGGAAACGACCAACATAAGAGCTGTTCAGCTCTTTACGGATGACCGCTGTTGCGCCTTTTCTTAAAAACTAGGCTCTTTTTCCTTCCCCCACCCCACCTCGCATGATCATCAATTTTATAGTATACCGAGTCGTTTTACAAGGTTAATTATGAAGACCAAATATGTTTGTCATGGCCTAACTAGTCCGTATGTCAATTTTCAAAACAATCAGGAAATGTGAACAAAAGGGGGAGCCAAAATCTATAATAAAAATTTTAAATAAATCTATTTAACATAATTGTTACTTTTCCATATTTGTATGTAGGGAATGTCCATCTCGCGGGAGACAGGTAGGGAGCTGACGGTGGTGGCGATGGAGGACTGTGAGTTCCTGGTGGTGGATGGGGAGGACTTCCCGGACACTGGACTGCAGCCACTCATCCTCCAACAACTCAACACCAAACTCCAACACCTCAGGTGTGAAATCACATCAGTATGTAAAGCAGCATCTGAAGATCAGTATGTAGATCGGTCCTCTTAAATTCAGGGGCAAATTTCGTCACACATACGTTTCGCCTCTAATATCTCACACACTAAATGGTGTAAGGAAATTGGAGGAAACGTAAGAGGGGCGATCTGCCAAATCGAACCGGGCGAAATGTGTGTAGACATAGCAAAAATACTTGCTGATGTTATGGAACCAGTGATCTCAATAGTGGGATGGGTAGTACCCCCCCCACCACTTAACTTTATACATAATTCACTAACGATTCCCTTCAAAATGAATCGTCAACTGAATCCGGCATAAAGTTGCATGGATTTCTTAATCCACTAATACTAAACCTTTCAAGAGAAGGTCCCTCATTGCATCAATCACGTTTATTGTTTTTGTCATGTTTATTGTTTATGTCATTTGATGGAAAGTTTAGTTTTAACTTTAAGAAACTGATCGAACTTCAACTCTTCCCAACAGCATTTAATCTCACGACTTGAACACAATTTCATCTATTTGACCTGTTTTTGTCAAAAAATTTTTTACATTTTTAATTGCCAGAGCTCAAGGCATAAAGGATTCAGACAATTAGACCTCGTTAAAAAGTTCCAATTTCTATAATACACTAACCAAACGGTTCAGCAGCTTTTAAACGTGGTGAACATTAACGAATTTTCCCCCTTTGAAATGGGGGATTGGAGATGTTTTAAGAGATCTAAAACTATTTTCAGGAACCACCCCTTTTTGTCTTCTTTGGACGATGAAACAATTGAGGCACTTCTAGTGGAGACTAAATTGCTGGAGGCAGCTCACGACTCCGTGATTGTGAGAGACTCCCAGAAGTGCAACCACATTTACCTTGTCTGCCAGGTAAGTGCAGCGAATATTTTCCAGAGTGTCTTACTTAAGTGCATGTTGAGACGTTGTCTTTTTACTTGTGTCTGTACAGACCTGCCTATGTTCAGATTTTGATTAAAAAACAGATTTTGACAACATCTTTGGGACTATATCCACACAACGAATCTTTGATTACTGTCAGCAGCCATCGTTTGCTACTTTTAACTCAAGTTTTCAAGTACGGTACAAGTTCATATGGTAAGAAACCATCTAATACTATTGGCACCAAAGACAACTTATTAGCAAACATTGGCACCAAAGACAAATTTAGACATAAAAGATCAAAGGTAATTCAGCCAAAATAGGAGGCCATAAAATAGTACTAGAAAGCAGCATTTAGGCTGTTAGTGAGCTGGCCCAATTCCCCCCTTTATTCAGTCCCTCAGATTGCTACATTTAGAAAATTTTTTGAAAGAACTTTCAAATAAAACTTTTTTAAACTAATTGATGTTGCATCAAATTTTACTTGCCAGTTTGAACGAACCAATTGCTCTCTTGATAGGGATTTTGTGGCGTTTTTCGATGGATGAGCTCCAAACTTCTCAGCGACCCGATTGAGTTCGGAACCATGCAGAAATCAGTCCGAGCTGACGCAGTAGACACGCCAAGGAGCTGGAGCGCGAAACCTCCGAAAGCGAAAACAAAATCCTCTACTCCGCGTCGTGAGAGTTTGATGACTTCATCTAGTGACAATATCCTGAGGAAGGAGTTGGCGCACATAAAAGAGAGTGTGGGGAAACTGTCAATTGAGTACTTAACCTTCCCCCAAGTGAATGTTACTCGACAGGAGCAGTTCGAGTACTGGCAGAAAAGTCGAAACGACAGAGATGTGAACAGAGAAAAGTAAGATAGATTTCAAATTCTCAGTCTCATTTTAGCTTTACGTTTTTTCGTGGTTTATTAATTAAAATTCGAAACTTAAAACTTATAATCGATGCGTTTCCAATAAAAAACGTTATCAAAAATTATATTTAATTGAAACATTTACTGTTAAGTTCTATACTTTTGCTGTAGAAAAGTAAGTGCTATACTTTAGGCGTTCGGCAAATTACAAGAAAGATAATGGCAACTTCGTCAAGCTGGAAACAATCGGAGCCGGTGAAAGCTTCGTAAGTCATTTTTACATAGTTAAAACCTCAAGGAAAAGGAGTACTTGGAAATTTTGTGAAAACAATTACAATCTAGATGATCTATCTGAAAAACATCAATTCAAAAAGGCTAGCACATCCAACATAACCATAAAACGGCTGGCATGTCCTCATTTAAATCATTACATTGGTACCAGAAGTCTTTCACGGACATTTTTGTACATCCTTCTGGACTATTGATCAATACGAAATTATGCACTAGCTGAAAATTTATGTAAAACCAATCAGAACAAATTTCATTAAAATTGAGCAATAAAAAACATGCAAATTTTTTTCAGACTATATGATTGGCACATGAGTGATATTCATTTGTTGTTGAGATCATTCAAAAAAGAATTCATATGCGTCGGCGGTCAGAGTATGAGCATAGAATCATCTGACAAAAAGCAGAAAAATTGACGCATTATTTCCTTTTCCCTTCCAAGATGATCTCAAAAAGAAATGAATACCAATCATGTGCCAAAAACTCATTTGGTGCCTTCAAAAAAAAGGCACTCAATAATGCCACTCATTTATGATTTGTTACTCATTGTTCAATGTTTGCAGGGTCTTCCGGAAGACTTGCCGACTATGCCCTCGATGCAGTTGATCAGCTGCAAGTCAGTCCTCATTGAGATCCCACTATCCACCTTCAACCGCTACTTGAGACCCAAAGTGGGTCCCCTCATTTCCAAGTCGTTCCTCCCCTTCCACGCCCTGTGTGAGTCATCAACCGACAAGTTCAACCGACTCAACTGCTGGGAGAGTGTCAAGAGAAGGCAAGTTTATAGTTGTGACTGGTTCAAAAGAATCTTTTCTGGTTCCGACAAGCACGGGAAGGCTGAGAACTATTATTTCTTTTAGGTGATTCAAGGCGTCGGAACATTTTTGTCGACTTTTACTTAGGCCAACCGAATAATTTTTTGAGCTATACCAAAAACACTATAAAGATTCCATTTGAGAAAATTTTCTGTGCAGGTCAAAATTTTATGAAAAAATAGGCCAAAAACTACGTTTTTAGGCAGTTTTTGGAAGGTTTCGATTTGAAAAAATGCATTTTTTCTCGGCGTTCGCTCACATGGAAACTGTATTAATTCAGAAGCAAAGCTTCGCTTCGCAAACACTAGCGAAGCACGGCAAAAAACAGGTCTATAAAACGCAATGAGAAAAATTAGAACTAAGCCTCGGGTTAGTAAAAATTTGTCTATGTCTAGGCTACGAGCTGGCGGCCTAAAGACTATGAGTCTCCCACAGTAACCACTTAGCCACGAACGCTTTATAAATCACAAACAGTAGCCCCAAATAATGCTGAGAACTGATGCTATGCAATTTCCAATGCTACAGTGAAATTTCCAATAAAGTGGACACTTTTATTAACGAGTTAGTTTAGAAAAAAAAGAAGGCTCGTAATAATATAGTACGCTGATCGCAAGTGTAAAAAAAGAAAAAGTATCCTTTAACGACGTCCATTTCTGGCCCACGGACCCTGAAATTTTCTTGAATGCAATTTTGCGAAAAATTCCGGGTCCGTCGGCCGAAAATGGACAGAACTGAGAAAGAGAATTTTTTTTGGGGGGGAGAAAGTCATATTTTTGAAAAGGGGTTCGCTTTATCCCCCTAATTTGTTTGCTACTGTCTGCAGGCATCCTATTTTGGCTCTTTTCCAGTCCCCCCCCCCCCCCCCCCCCCCTCCTTTCAAATTCAACTTTGAAAAGCTTATTTAACCTTGTCATAATGCAATGAAATTTGGCGTGGTGAACAAATCAACAACTGTGAACAGATTTGTTCTTCATACTTTACAGCGTAACCTCACGCATTTAGCCGTAATAACACGTAAAACAAACATAAAACTCGGTATTTTGAAAGGTGGGGGGGGGAACTGGAAAAAAGCCCCTATTTTTCTATTTTTATGGAACCAGGAAGCAGCCTTGCATCACGAAACACGTTATCAAATGCTCACGCTTTTTGAAGCCATAAAAACGATGTCACTTGGATGCCCTCTCGCAAAAGCGCGAAAGACACAAAATTCAGAAAAAACATGCTGCTTATCTGATTTAAAAGATGAAGAAAACTATTAAGAAGAGAGAAAGGTAAAATATGTTTTTTTTTCCTTTGGATATTCTTATTTTTTTTTTCATCAACAAAACACGCTTCTTTGACGCTAACTCTGCCAAATTGTCAAAAAAGAAACTTTTGCGCAGATAGAAGTACGCGAAAATAAATTTAAAGTGACAAAATCAGCAGGAAAATGAAAAGAATAAATTACAAAATAATTTTAAAAGTTTTTTGGGATGAAATAAATAAAATACAAAAAAATTGGAGAGGGGTGGCGTCTCCGCCTTTCAATCGAAAGATCGATGTGTTCGAGGCTCACCATTATCTGTGCTCACTGGTTGAGGGCGAGGGAACATTATCCAGCCCAGGAAAAAACCAAAAAATGCATGTAAGTCCTAATTAGGGGTGCAACAGCGGCTCTCCGCAAAAAACAACAACTCGTATCTTGGTTCTTTCTCTGGTGGATAAACTGTCTTAAATTAACTTTACAGATACAGTTTTAGAAAAATTCTTCTCAGTACTCCGGTTAATTTACGCAGATGCTTTATAGTCATTCAAAAAAGCATGACATGGGGTTGTGCAAGTAGCACAGAATTGCCAACCATACTACTCAGGGGGATCTATGATTTTCTCGAGGAGAGGAATTATCAAAAAAAATTATCGATTGTTTTAAGGTCGAGCGAATTGAGTTTTACGAGCTCTCAAAAACACTATAGAGATCCTATTTTGGCCAACAACTTTATGCCGCAGGAAACTCTTCGAGAAAAGAGGCCAGAAAATGCGTTTTTTGGATTGTTTTGAGCAAAAATTTGGGTTTTTCAATGCGCACCCGGCCCTCAAATTTAGTATATATTAAGCCTGTGAAAAATTAAGGTTCGGTCAGCCAAAAATCCAAGTTTTAAAATAACACCAAAAGGGGCATTTTGGGTCGCCACGGGATCGAATCACTGAGAAAAGGAAGGCGCCCCCAAAAACCCGCTACCAATACTAATTTGAGTAATTAAAATTTAAGAAATTCAAAAAATGCTTTCTTCTAGAATTATTTTTTGAAATGGTGATTGAACTAGCATTAAAACATGCTGAGGTTGTAATAGCTAAAATAACGTCTCTCGACACTCAGGTATTTTTTTGCTGTTTTTCAGATTCCAATTCACAACCGATAGGGTTTTAATATGGTACCCCATTTGACAACAACGAGTTTCGTTTGAGATAAACAAAATTGGCTGGAGTTGCTCGGAAAGAAACTGACCGTACGCCATAGCTCCTTCATATGGGGTTTTTTGTTTTGCATTATGGTATTATGAGCTTTATTTGTGATATAACAAAACAAATTTCGCGTTTTTTTATCAACCTCTAAATCTCTCGATGCAGAAAAAATACACAGAGACAAAGCGGAGCACCACAACCGTAGTATTGCGAACTAGCAGATGAAAAATTTGAAAAAAAACTCAAAAACACCTTTATCACAAAATTTTCAGTTTTTGCCTTGAATGATGCTGAATTGGGCGAGAATACGTCCAGCGAAAACATGTCTGGCATTATTTAAGAAATCATAAATCTTTTTTTGAGCGGCAACAGACAAAGTTTGGGTAAACTCGCAATGAGCCGAAAGCAAACTTATACTCAGATTCAAAGTAGAGCTTTGCACCAATTGCGATGCAACACAAACATTGCATTAAAAACTAGAAGGCATGAATAGCGACGCAAGCCAAAAAAAAATTGGCGATGTTGAAAAAACTAAAACTACCAAAACTTTTTTTATCTTTGTCTCAATTTGTCTTGATAAAAAAATTGATAGTTAAGTTTGAAGCGTGAACAAAACTTACGAAGCGTTAAAAAAGTCAAAAGTTTTTAAGCAGACATCGATTCAGCCAAAAAAATGTCCAGTAAGAAAGACCAGTATCAAAAATAAAAAACAATAAACAAAACAAAGAAAAATGAAAAAAAAAAAAATTGAAATTTTCCGAGTCGTAGTTGGTAAAGTTAAAACCATTATAAAAAAGGATATCGATTAGAATAGGTATCTCATGTGCAGACATGGTCATAATATGCCGGTTGGTTGACGAAAGTGCAGACTTGAGAAAATGATGCAGTGATTCTGTTGGAGAAGTTCTTTACAAGTACGTTTCTAATCGATGAAGCTTACTAATCGCAAGCATATTAACCGCATGCGTAATAACTCTGTGCTCATTATCCGAAAAATTTCATGAAATAAAACCAAAAACCAGTGAAAATTGAAAAAAAAACTATTATTTGAAAAGTTTTTTTTTAGCCTAATTAAAGTTCAAAAAAAAGAATGACTGTCAAAAATACAGAAAGTAAAAAAAACTTGAAAAAAACTCAAAAGTTTATAAAGCTTCAGGTTTTTACAGGCCATTTGATCAATTCGATCTGTCTGAAAAAATTGTGAGTTTAGAAAATTTTAAAAAGCAGCCCCCTCGATTTTATTATTAGTTGAAATTTTGCTATCTATATGATTGGCGCAATCCATCTTTTTTAACCGGAGCTTGCCATCATAGGATTTAAAGACTGAATGCGAGTACGTTACGCCAAATTATTCGGACCTCGGTATTTAGCTGGGCTATTTATTGACTAATCAAAGCATCTTAGCTATAATCTGTTTCACATGTGAATAATCGTCTTCGTCAAGTTTGAGACTATCTGATGTGACGCATTATTTTCATGTATTCGAGTCAGCTGAAAACATTCTTTGATATGTATCAAATTACTAGCAATTTATGGTATAGTAAACCAGCTATTAAATCACTAAAACTGTAGAACTTGTCTCGCTAGCACCACCCATTTTGAATAAATCAGAAGTTGATGAAGTGGTTTTATTTGGTTTGGATACCAAAAGACTGCTTGAATGCATGTATCATCAACAGGTATCAACAAACGAGTTTTGTTCATTTTTTATCAAAACGGCGAACGACATCGCATGATCTTCTGTTGGAAAAAGAAAAGATAACCAGCAGAACATAGTAAACTAAATAAAAAGTTTCAACGCATTTTCAAATTTTCGGTTCTTGCACAGCCAATAATTTAAATCCACTTCCATAAAAAACGCTAATCACATTTTTTTACGCAACTGGCTCTAGTAAATTCAATCATTAAATTACAAGTTACTCCTATTTCGTAAAAACTTAAAAAAGGGAAAAGAAATAACAAAAAATCAGAGGCCGCAAATTTGAAAATTACAAGAAGGAACCAAAAACTATGAAAAATCTAGCAAAACTTAATTCAAGCAAAAGAAAATAGCATGATTCATATGGACGCTGACAAAAATAAGCAGTAAAACAAAAGTCATATTATAAAAAAATTCCATTACTTTTGTCGTTAAGCTGAGACGTTACCTACGGGTCAAATTTGTACCCCAAACTTGATATAATACCAAAGTACTGTTTGCAAAAAAAAATCATATCAAAATTATCAACTTTTGATTTCATACTATTGAATTACTGTCTTAAAAAAACTTTTCTCTCAAAATTATGAACTTTTGATTTCATTGTAGTTTAACGGATGACGTCAGAGCCCAGCGTTTCACACCTCAGATGGACCCCTACGACATCTATTTTCTAGAGGGGGGAGCCCCACCCACGGTACACGCACCCTCAGTCAAATACTCCCACTCAGCCAGACAGGTCCACTTCTTCAGACCCAGACACAGTCTAACCAACCTGGACAGACTGAAACTGCCCTCAATTCACAGATCAGGTTGGTAACACGGAATGCCGTGGCTTTTTTCCTGTTCAACCAATCCCTCCACGATTGTTATGTAGAACTTACACATAGGACAATGGGTATCAGACTTAGCACATACGCAAAATAAACGTACATTTCTTGTACATTTGATATTCATAATCTAGTAAATTAAGACTCTTTGCACCAATAAACTAATGTTCATACATGATGGGGTAATAATGATTAAAATTCTGAGAAATTTAAATTGTTACTCTCAGGAGCCCAAAAAAAACGAAGAAGTCTGATTAAGTCCAAAAACTATTAAATTACTTGATTCACAAGATAGTTTCCAAATAAATACAACGACTTTTCAGAATTTTCAACATATGTCATCACAATTTAAAGTAAATTTTAATGCAAACAAAACCTTATTCACCTCTTTAACAGACTTAAAAAGCACAGGAACGTCGCATGTTTTCTACCAAGATACCTGTATTCAATCGCTACGGCAAAAAGTTGAAAATTCTTTGATGTCGTTCTTGGGAACTGCTACTTTTGAATAACACTGTCACACAACGCAAGTGACATAACAACGCCTTCGAATTGAGGTACTTAACAGAGACAATTTTTCTGCTGTTTCAATTATTAAATGAAGACCGAAACCTATCAGACGAAATAAATATTCTCATGAAAAACTTGAACAACAATTTCTATTAAACCTTTAGCAATTGGTGCAATCCAGAAAAATAATTTTTCGCTCGTCGAAAAAAGCATTATGCGGCCATTAAGCCGATATAATAAAGGCCAAAACCTATCAAGCCAAATAAAATATTGTCAAGAAAAACTTAAACAACGACTTCTATGAGGATTTAGAAAGAGAAAATTGATTCATAGTGCGATCTAGAAAGAGAAAATTGATTTTGCTCGTTGAAAGACACAATAGAAAACCATTACGACGATACAGGCCGAAACCAGTCAAGCCGATATAAAAGAAAAACAAAAAGCCAAAAAAAGGTAGTCACGAAAAACTTGAACAATAATTTCTATTAAGATGTTAACAATTTGTGCAACCCAGAGAGCATAAAAACTATGTTTCCCGTCAAACGACTCACAATTAGGCCCCTAGGCCGATAAAGTATGTGCCGAAATCAATTGGGCAGAATAAAGTTTTAAGGCGAAAACAAAAGAAAATATATGAAATTACGAACAGCAGAAGTAAAACAAAACTCTACAAGCAATCAGGCGCGATTCTAGGATTTTCTCAACGGGGGGGCACTTTCTAACATAATGCGATTTTCCGAAAATGAGTCACAGCTGTTAAATTCACGCCTCATTTTGTCGCCTTTTTCAGAAATATGTGTGATTAGCGGTTCTGGATGAATACTTTTGAAATACAATGATGCGAAAACTTGAGTCCTTTGAAATTCACACATGTTATTAACACTTGTTTTTTTGGCCGCAAAATTCAGTATATATTTGAACGCTAAATTTACAAAATCATTCCAATCAAATTCACTTTCAGAGTAATGTCTAAACGCAGTTCGACAACAAATCCGTCACCGAGGTCATCCTCAAAGATTACGTCCTTCTTTGGTTTTTCAACTCCACAAGCATCACAATCCAGTGAGTTTCAATTTTTATTTTCATTATTTTTTCAATCAAAATTTTGTTTTATTGGTTAGCGTTTTGATCGTTTGTGGAACTCTACGTTTTGTTTCAGGCGACCTATCCCAGTCTCCCGTGACAGAATCAGATGTCGTGACCGAGAATCAGCCTAGCACTTCTGGTACCCAACCTGCAGTCCATGAGGCTTCAACGGACACCCCTGCTGACATTGGTGTTTTTGTGGGCGATCCTTCGTCAGCAACTGATGGACAGAAATATGCTCTTCTGAAGACTCGACAAATACCCGTTTTCCCCGGAAACAACTGGCCGCATGAGACAAGATCGGGAAAAAAGAGACACCTCAATGCACGGCATTTCGAGATTCATGGATCGTGGCTGTGTTACTCACATGAACCAGCTGGACTGTTCTGCAAAGTCTGCCTGTTCTTCGCAGATCGGGACGCGGTCAGACGACGAAATGGCAGCACAGCGCCCGTGACCTTCATCAACAAAGGATGCACCCGATACAGCAGGCTCACAGGCAGTGAGGGATACTTCGACGCCCACTGCAACACAAACTACCACAAGGACGCCTCCCTGGTCGCAGTAGATTTTATCTACGCATTCGAGCATCCCGCCAAGTCAATAGATCAACAACTGGACAAACAGGTTCATCAGAGAGTTGCAGAAAACCGGAAACGCCTCAAGCCCATCGTCAGCACAATTGTTTTTGCTGGTCGGATGGGACTTCCTCTCCGCGGTCATCGAGACTCTGGGTCGCTGACGGTTCCAGAGACGGTGGAAGACATTGACGCCGAGTGTGGCAACCTGAGAGCACTTCTACAATTCAGAGCGGTCAGTGGGGACGAAGACCTCAAAGAGCACCTGATATCCTGCAAGAAAAACGCTACCTACCTCGGCATGCAGTCTCAGAACGAGATCATTGGGGCCATCGGAGACCAGATACAACAGACAATCGTCAAGAAGATCAAGAAAGCGAGGTTTTTCACAGTGATCGCAGACGAAACAACTGATGTGTCGCGCAAAGAGCAAATGTCACTCTTTGAGTAGAACGACTACTCAACCAACAGCATCAGACCCGAAAACGCACTATTTGCATACAGTTTATTTGCCTTTCTTAGATTATTTGCTACAAGACTCCAACGATCGGTTCCTGCAACACTCCGAGAAGATATCAGGACTCGCTCGTCTTCTGCCTTCCAGCATACACGACTGCTCACTTGATCCTGATGACATTTGCGATTGCCTCGAGTTTTACGGCCCCCTTCTTCCCAGTTCCTCTGGTGTCGCAGCCGAGATCGAGCTGTGGCAACAGAAGTGGGTTCACGATGAAAATGCCCCATCAACCGCCGTGGAAGCTCTTGAGCACTGTGATCCAGCTTTCTTCTCGAATGTCAGTGTTCTTCTTACGGTGCTTGCGACCCTTCCAGTGACAACTTGCTCAGCAGAGCGCTCCTTTTCTGTTTTGCGTCTCCTTAAGACGTATCTGAGGTCCAGAATGGGAGAAGAGCGTCTGACGGGACTTGCACTGATGTACGTACATTCAGACCTCAAGATTGACCTGGACGACATTATCAACCGTTTCAGCCAGAAGAACCGACGACTAGAGTTCCAACGATAAACTCATTCCATTTTTTGAACTCATTCCATTTTACATTCCGTTTGGTTATAAACTCTCTGAAATATGAAATATTTCGCTTTAACTGATTTTTCAAGGAAAAAATAGTCATTAAATGGTGCGCCGAAGGCGCTTTTCGGAAAATTATGTACTCAAATATGTATGAAAAAACTGGTTCTTTTTTTGGTTCCCTTCAAAAGGGGGGGGGCACGTGCCCCCGGTGCCCCCCCCCCCCTAAAATCGCGCCTGCAAGCAATTACACTATAAATTGCGTTCAGCATAAAACAATAATAAGATGTAGCAACTAAACCGATAAAGCATTAAGTCAAATAATAAGCTGGCAGTTTTTTTTTGAAGCGGAATAATTTGTTTGAACAAAACAGGTCAGATTCGAACCTAAGACATTTGTCATCCCAGGCGTATTCGTCACCTCCAGACCAAGTAAGACAGATGCATAGAAATTTTAATTCATTGTGAGCTGAACTTGAATTAACAAGTTTCTATGTTTGACCATTCTGTGAACACACTTACTTACAAAAGTCCAGTACCCGATTGCAAATCCATTGCTTATCGCAAGGGTAAAAATGCTCCAGTAACTACTTAAGTTCATTCTTAGATAGATGAATGCCCTTAGGTATATGTGCACTTTTTGAGTTCAAATCAAGTTAACTTGCTAAAAAGTAGGCAAAAATCGCACTCAAATTAGGAGAGAGGAAGTGGCGCAAAAGCACATCATCGATTTCTAGTTTCGAAGGTAGTCTTATTTGATTTTTAGATTTCTCAACGGAATTTAAATTTTACCTAACAGTCCTGTTTTATCATATTGGGCTGTTTCATCAAAAGGAGCCAATCATAAATTAGTTCTTGAAATTAAAAGGCCATATGTGTTTGAACATTCAGCTCTAAGCCTTAAAAAACAATGTAAAAGAGCGCTAATTTTTCGCTATGTGATAAAAATAAAATTTGAAATCTAAGTTAATAACCAATATTTGGTGTTCATAACCTTGTAAAATGTTAAGCCGTAAAATGCTGTATATAACGAATGCTCTCTATAACAAAAAGGCAAAACAAGCTTGGCACCACTAGCGATACCACATAAAATAAGCATTGCAAGCTAGCAGGCAGAAAAGGAGAGCCAGTAAGTGACAAAAAAATCGAAAAACTACAACCAAAAAACTTCAAAATAATAACTGGAATGATGTTATTTTCAGAAAACACGTTCAGAAACACAATCGATGGAGTTTTATAAGAATTCAAAAGCAATTATCGAGAGGCAACAGAGCCGAAAAAACTTGAGCAAACTCCCACAGAACCGAAGACAAAGTTATTGTCATGAAAAATTTTGAACTATAAATTCTACTCTAAGATTTTTGGTGTTTTGTGCGGTCTGGAGAGAACATAAAAACTATGTTTCCCTGAAACTACCCAAAATTAGGTCACTAAGCCGATAAAATATCAACCGAAACCATTTGGACAGAAGAGTGCCGCTTGACGCTAAGAAGTTTGAATTCATTTTCAAACAAGATACCTAGTGATTCTGTTAAACAAGTTATCCCGGAAAAAGTCTATACTGCAAATTGATAACACTTTGTTGCTAGAGACCACAATTGTGCTTGGCAATATGTAATTAACTAACATTTCAATTTTTATGGCAATAGACTAAAGGAGAACAAAATTTATAACTTTAAAAATAGTCAGTCGACGCGGAGAAGGTAGAGGAGCCATCTTTTATCTACAATTAACATAAATCTGTCATTTAATTTAATTTCAGCTTCAAATTCGCGACCTGCAACTAATCACACACTGCGGTCGGTGAGAACAGCCTCGACCAGACCTGTGTCCAGGGCACCCGCCTCCTACGCCGTCAGGAACTCCAGAATACGATAACAGTCGATCACACTTCACAGTCGCATGTCTTCCAACACTTCGCAATAAAAATCATTTCGGAAATTGCGTTATTATATAATACTAGATACAATTTGAATTCACATGTAAGCCTCAACAAAAAACGGTTTATTTTCAAATTTTCTTGTTAATTTCTGCAATTTTTATCAAACACAAAAAGATAACTGGGTTTTAGCAAGGATTCGAACCTCAGGCGGTCCAAAGAGTCCCTCCCCCTTTTGGTATTATTTTAAGACATCCTTTTTTTGCCTGACCCACCCAAAAGTTGTTTTAGGCGCATTGGGCGCCAATCAGTGATGTCCATTTAAAAAAAACAATTTAAATTAATTTAAAATGTCATTTAAAATTCAATTTATTTAAATGTGAACTTATGAGCCCACTCAACTTAAATGAAAAATTTCAATTTAAATCGAGCAATTTAAATTGAAAATCATTTCAATTGCTACGGCGGTATCCGATCTGACTCCAAAGTACAGAGTTTACTCATGATAATTAATTTCACATTACACAGTTCCGCGGAAAGCAAACTATCTAGCAAATAGATATGCCCAAAAAATTGCTTAGGAATTCTTTTCACAAAATTGCGAAAAGTCCCCAAAATTGACAGAAAAGCAGCTAAAAAAGCAAACTGAAGAAAAATTTAAATAGTTTCGGAAAAATTTAAATTGATGCCAACAATTTTGATAATTTTTTTAAACCATTTTCTTTTAAATCTTTATTTTTTAAAATGGACATCACTGGCGCCAATATATACCAATTTTGAGTTGGAGCGCGCGCCGGAAATACGCTATTTTTTGGTCAAACTTTCAAAAAAGTGCCTGAAAACACCTTTTTTGGCATGTTTTTTTTCCATAAATTTGCATGCGATGCAGGAAATGTTGTCAAAATTGGGTCTCTATATTTGGGATAGCTTGGAAAATCAAATTGGTTGACGTAAAAATGTCGACAAAATTTTTGAAAATACCCCCTTGAGAAAATCCTAGATCCACCTCTGATTTTCGCTGTTGCATTTCTAAATTAAAATTTGATTTGTGTCGCATGACTTTCGGCTGGAACTGAACTTGTCTTAGTTTAATTTATCAAACTGAAAAGGTAACCATGGAATGTTATATTGATCATCATTTGCATGAAAACTTTTGTTACAATTCAACATTAAAATATAACTCATATTTTGATACGCAAATACAGGTTTATACCAGCTCAAATGAAAGTCCAGTTTTCAATATTAAGCTCAAGTTATACCAGCTCAAGTTTTCAATATTTAGTCTTTAGATTATAACTCAGTCCGGCAATATACAGAGCAGAAACACTCATACAGTTCTCTACTTCTTGGAAAAAATGTCTACCAAATCCTGGAATACTTTCTGAGGTTTTTGGTCAGCGTTAATCCAAGAAGTGATGCCGTACTTTTTGTAGTGATCCATAAGTGGCACAGTCATTTCGTGATATTGTTGCAATCTTTTGGTGAGTGCTTCCACTGTGTCATCTGACCTCTGAATCAGAGGCTCGCCTGTGATATCGTCTTTCATGGGCACTTTGGGAGGAGCGAACTCTCTGTGATATGATCTCCCACTAGCCTGAAACGAGATTTTAAATTGGTTAAATTCGTCGACATTATTTCCAATTGCGTGGCTTCGAACTTTTTGAGCTCTGTTGAAGCCTTAGAATGACTTTTTTGACAACAATTTACCCACCTTAGACAATTTTCGGCTATTTGCTGTTTCAAGCAAAAAAAATGTCCCTGAAAAATAGTAAAAGCGCCGATGCCTACTATAGAAAAAATTAGGGTTAGTCAGCCATAAATCGCTGCTGTGAAATGATACCAATACGTGTACCCTTTGAGAAAATTTTGCAACCAGATCCCCCTCAGTGTTGTCCAGTTAAATAATTATTGGTTAACACAGAGGCGAAGGTGCGCTTCACAAACAATAGCGAGAAAACGACAATGAGCAGCTCTAGAGTTGTAAAAAGTGCAATAAGAACAAGCAAAAATAAGCCTCGAATTAGTAAAAAAAAAATCGGCTACGACTCGGACTCGAACCTACGACCCAGAAGTTGAGAGTCTCACGCACTAACCACTAAACCTTAATACACCAAACAATAGCCACAAATAAAGCAGAGAACAGATGCTATGAAATTTCCAATGCTACAGATCGTGATTAAAGCAAAAAGGCACACAAGTGAACACTTTTAATGAACTTTTATTTTCGAGTTAGATTACAAAAAAAAGGTTCATACTAAAACACTAGCTGCTCGCTCGCTTGAACTAACAGTTAATTAAATGGCTATCCAGCACTAGAACCAAAAAGATTCTGCTAGTAGCAGAAATTCGCAGAAATGGCAGAATTCGGTTTATAGAGGAACAGATAGAGCAGAATATCAATCATACGGCAGATTTTGTCAATTTTTCTCACATATCATTTTAAACTAAAAAAATATGAAAGCAGCAATTCTATTTCTTGGAAATATTATAGACGCATCTATGCTCTATCCAACTTAACTTCTTACCAAAACTGCTCTAGTTCTCAGAAACACAAAGAATGAATAAATTTACATGCGACTCAGCTAATCTACTATTTTGTGGAGACCGCTCGACTAGCATAAAAATTTGAAAACATAGAACTGTATGTACTAGCACAAATTTTACAGCTTTTTTCTCAAAAACAGAACAACGAAAATAATCCGCTCAAAATTAAACTTAAAATTCTGGAAAATAGTAAATGGAGCAATTGAGAAATTAAGCGATCAACAAGAAAAAAAATCCTTGTCACACAAATCGTAATCAGTCACTCCCCGACCTTTAATGGCTGAACCAAACACTGATTCCCCGCAAATTATCAACTGTATGAAAAAACTGTGTATAATGATTTTAATTTTGATGATATGAATTTGTGTTTGGATTTTTATGCTACTCGATACGACTTACAATTTTAAAACATTTATGCTAGTCTTCCTCTATGTCACCCGATACACCGCCTATTTACCTCCTTGAAAAAGCTCTGTTCGTTTTTCAAATTGAATTTTTTTGAAAGAGATTCAAACAGTACTTATTTTGTAAACGCATGATTAATGAGAACTTTTATTGAGCAGAAAAATGCAAAATTTTTCCTATGAGGCAGCAGAATTTGCTCTTAACAGCAGCAAAAATCTTTGGGGCATAGTCCAGTACGTCAAAAAACTTAAGCTAATTGGTTAAACCTAGGAGGTTTGCCAACATTTAACCAATTATGTTAAATGCGTAAATAAGCTATCTCGCTGCTAGCTGCCTAATTGTTTTCTCAGTATATGAGAAATCGCTGCAACCAACCTTGCTCAGCAAAATGTGTACTGAGCTGGGTGTCCCACTCTTTAACCCCACGAAATTTGACCCACTATATTTACACCCCCTACTTAATAACCCCGTAACAAGATAGCCCCACAACAATTTAACCCCCTTTTAATGACGTTAATTTGTTTCAAATTAACTCCTTTTATTAAGTCCTTTTACACTCATAGTAGTAATCCAATTAGGTGTACTAATTGAGGCCAGAGAAGCCATTCTTAATTAACTTCATGCATTTTCGCTCAAAAATAAGTGCATTTCGATTAGCTTAAGAAATAATCCCTCATTCACGCGTTTTAAACAGAGATAACCTAGGTGGTGCTAATTGACGTTTGTGAGTTTTATAAATCTAAAATGCATTTCTGGTCAAATTTAAAACGCATTTAGCAACGTGTATGTTAATTCATTTCGGTTCACAAAATTTTTCGCAATTAAAGCTTTGATGTTTACCGACGATATGGTTCCGAATCCCTTTCAAGCAAGTTTCACTTCGATTCTAACAATTGGTATTAAAAGGGGGTTAAATTGTAGTGGGGTTATCTAATTTCGGGGTTATATGAGAGGTTATTAAGAAAAAAGGGTTTCAAAACACGGGATGATAAGCTTGAGAACCACTGAGCTGGCCGCTTTTGATTTTGTATTGGCTACAATAACAAATCAAAGTTATAGTGAACGGAAATTATCCCATGCATTGTGCAACGTGATGCTAGGTAAATAAGAAAACAGGCCATTAAGACGGCAAAACATTAAGACGACAAACATTAAGACGACAAACATTAAGACGACAAACATTAAGACGACAAACATTAAGACGACAAATAATCAAAAACGGTTGTCGCCTCAACGGCTGTCGTCTTATTTGCCGGCCACATTGGAAATACGTGTTACATCCGCATAAAGCGAGTTTCTATCGTTTTAAATGTTACATTCATGCACATGTTGAAGGTGCGTACCCACAGCCGCATTTCCGGACAGCCGAAAAAACTTAACGTTTCTTGTTAAGTTAATTAGCAGCAAAATAAAGTTGCACTAAAAAAGCAAACTCGTCACAAAGTTTGAGAACTTTTATTCTAACGATTTAACTATCTAGTTTTTTTTCCAAAACTTAGCTAACCAAAAATCCAATAGACTCAAAGCATTTTCCATGCGTAATGGTTCTGATTTCATGGAATTCAAAAGCAATAAAAGTGCGGCTACTTAGATAACGCAAAAAAAAAATTTCGGCTCTCCGGGAACAAAATGTTTTTCTTATAAATATTCAGTGCTTTTACATCACATTTCTCATATGGAAAAATTCTTCCAGTCAAATTGTTTTTGGGATATGACGTTTCTCAACGGGAAAAAGCTGAAAAAAATGTCACTTTAATTTAAAAAAAAAACTGGAGCAATCAGAAGCAAAAAAGACAGAATTATCATGGAACGAAGATAAGTCGAAAAGCAAAAACGAATAAGCACGAGATTATTATACATAAATTTAATGAATGTATTGGCGACTCGAGCCAAGAATTTCAGTTATTAAAAGAAACGAATGGTGAATCGGCCCACTCTTCACATACTGCGGTCTTGAAAGAAAACAATGCTGATATTACAGAGCCTGAAGGTTTGCCAATAACTTTTATCATTTCTTCTTTACAACTGTTCAAAATCTTACTAGTGATACACCGAGACTTAAAACAAGTTTTTCAAAACCGAACAATGCAAGGCGGCTACATTTTGAAGGAAATCAAATGGTTATACTAGTCGTCTACGAGCATCCAATCGTTGATAAAAAGAAATTCAACGAATATTTTCATAGAAAATTTGAAAAATTGTCAAAATCGAAGCTACCTTCAGTAACAGCTGGTGATTTCAACGTGGATGTTTTAAAAAATCTTCAAATTGTTCCAAACTACCGCTGCGCTCAAAGCCGTTTATCATCAAACGGTTTTGAGCATTTCTCAGAATCACTTCTCTTAGATCCTCATCTTTCATCGATTATTTCATTATCCGCAAATTATTTGAGCCACTAAATAAGATTCTTAACAGAAAATGCTTTTCTTATAAATATTCAGTGCTTTTACATCACATTTCTCATATGGAAAAATTCTTTCAGTCAAATCGTTTTTGGGATATGACGTTTCTCAACAGGAAAAAGCTGAAAAAAATGTCACTTTAATTTTATAAAAAACTGGAGCAATCAGAAGCAAAAAAGACAGAATTATCATGGAACGAAGATAAGTCGAAAAGCAAAAAAGAATAAGCACGAGATTATTATACATAAGTTTAATGAATGTATTGGCGACTCGAGCCAAGTATTTCAGTTATTAAAAGAAACGAATGGTGAATCGGCCCAGTCTTCACATATTGCGGTCTTGAAAGAAAACAATGCTGATATCACAAAGCCTGAAGGTTTACCAATAACTTTTATCATTTCTTCTTTACAACTGGTCAAAATCTTACTAGTGATACACCGAGCCTTAAAACAAGTTTTTCAAGAGCATTCAATGTACCTATTTAGATATACTTTTCAAAAAGTTGTAGGATTCAGCAATATTTTGAAAGTTGAACTCCAGGAATTGACGCCGTAGGTTTATTGTTTTGATCAATATATACATCTCGCTATATTTGACATTTTTTAGTGAAAATCAGACGCTAGCAATCCAGAAAAATACAAGCCATAGAGAATAATTTTATCGATCGAGTGGAATTTATTCTTACAAGCTGTGCATACCACAGAAAGAATTTGAATTAAAAAAAAATTTCTGCCGAATTCTCAGGAGCATCCGAGGAGATGTCATGTGAAACAGTTCGAAACTCTTCCGAACGACACTGATTCATATTAAGGACGTATAGCAGCCAACTTTACTACCGTTCGGCGAGAAACCATGATGATATTAAAATTCAGTCGTTGCTTTTCTCAAACGACGCTTCCTCTCAGCCAGCTACGATCTTCAGTGAACAAAAACCTACGTCAAGTGTTATCCATGACTTCGAGACTTGGGGAAATTTCAAACAAAAATCATGATTGTTACTTTTTTCATCAAAATGGACCAGGAGAAAAATGAATCCAGAGGTAATTTTTTCATGCCCCTCAAAATCTTAAAACTAAATCCCCTTTCGAACCTTAAAATTCATTCACATTTTTTGCTTTCAATAATGGAGAACGCAGTTTTTGTTTCTTTCAACAAAAAAAAACTGAATTGACTCGAAAAAATGACAACTCAAACCGCCAAAGGTCAAAATTGATAAAAACTACTCCAATTTTGGAACACTAAATCAATACATGATTTTTCATTCTGCAGGGAATGCTAGAAAAACCTAATTTTGAAATTTACAGCCATTCACATTTTTTTTCGATATAAAGATATCACTATAAAGAAAAGAAGTCGAAAAAACACTTACTTCAAACGTTTGTCTCGATTGATGTTCAATTTCAGCAAAAAACGCAAAACATATCACAAGCCTTAAGTAAGTATTCAGTATCACTTAACGAGCGAGTTCTAAGCCGAAATTATTAGCGTAGACAGCCATTCAACCAAAAAACAAAAAAAATCAAAAAAATTGTCATACTATACGGTGACTTAGCTGAAACCTTGAGCAAAAACAATGAAAAATTAAATTAAAAAGGAATATACTGAAAGTCAGGAAATCGTAAACTCTTAAGTAACAAAACTAAGTGCAACTACAACAAATTTGGTTACATCAGAAAATATTCCATGCATTGGAAATTAAGACGACTCAAAATAATCAGAAAAAATCTACAATTCAAATTTCAAAAAAAAAAATACTTTTATGCACTACTAAACAAGGTGCGGCCGTGAAGACACACCTGGTAGCTGTGCAAGAAGCGTAACGTTAGCCGACCTGTTTTCTTTGCCACTTACTTGGTCATTAGTCTTTAAAATTAAGTTACAGTTAAGTTGGTTGTAAAAAACACTACAGGTAAAATTGTTTGTTTCGACGTTTTTTTAAAGTCAGGAACATAGACAATTTACAGTTGAGAAAATTCAATGAACGCAAGGTTTTTAAAATTTGGTGAGAACTCACAAATTTAAAACTCTCTTTCGAAACCAGAAGCCATTCAGATTTTTGTCACATCATTTCCATGTTCTTAATTGGATGGCGAGCTCTGATTGTCTTCCTTTTAGCAAAGGAATTTGAATTTGAACTTAACAAAAGTCATAACCCAGAAGATCAATTTTGGCGTGAACAAATTTTAAGACTTGTTCCTGAAAAAAAATTTGACCAACATATGTTGTTGTTGTTTTGTATTCCCAGTATTACTGGAGGGCATGTTCATCCCTTTTCAAGTTTATTAGAAAATTGTCCATATGCTTCGACAATTTGCACAATTACAGCATACGCAAATAGCGCTGCTTGAAAACCGCATCTGTCTTCATTACGCTCATTGACACTTAAAAATAGAATCACTGATTAAACACAGAGGCGAAGAGGAGCGTCGCACCACTTGCGATACGACACAAACATAAAACTTTTGAAAAAAATTTAAATGTTGAAAAAAACTAGGAGAACCAAACTTTTCGCGTCTGGACAAAAAACAACTAGGGGCCAGTTTAACCTGGATGTACGTGTTTGATATTGAAAAAATTTGCTATACTGATGCGGCACGAAAAATGTGATTTTAAAAATTGGACTTTGCCCAAAACCTTAGTTGTTTTTCTAGTAAAATAAAGAAAAGTAAAAAAAAGAGATAATCAATTTTCCTGGGGCGATATCATTTCTTTAACAACAAAATGAGGAGCCGCGGCTTCTGCAGGAAAATTATCGCCCGGTTCTTTCAATTGAACATTTCATCTCAGAGATGATTGTGTAAACTTTAAGACAAATCAAAAAATTTCTAAAAAACGGTCATGTTCTAAGAAACGGTGAGTAGACTTTCCGAAATTGATTGTCTTTTTTCTGCAAAAAACAGATTGTGGCTATCCAAGAAAAGAAGTTACCCAAAACCGGGTTTTTTGATTGAACACAACCTGAGAACTTGCACGGTAGTTATCGCGTAAAGTCAAAAAGTTTTCACAAAATTGTCAAAGTTTCAAAACTTTGACTTGTTTTAAGGCTTAAATTTTTTTCGGTAACAAACTGGACATAGCCAAATATAAAGGTAAGCTTTCAATAACCTGTTGTTTTGATTAAAGCTATGATATCAGATTTGACAGAATAGTTAGCGAGAAAAGTCAAAAATGGCCAACATATCAAAATTTTGACATTTCCGAAAATCATAGATTTTTTTAGAAAAAATAGGGAGTAGGCGTTTACGCAGAAGGAATTCACGCAACCTGTAATTTCTATTGCACCCAAAATCTTAGTTTTGTGTGTGTAGTTCTCGAGAAAAGTCAAAAACTTCAAAAAACGTCAAAAAATTAAAATTTTGGGTGTACTGAAAATTTGGGCGCAGCCGCTTACGCAGGAAGCATTTCAAAACCGTTCTATTTAATGGAAACAAAAATTCAGATTTGAGAAGGGTAGTTATAGAGAAAACAAAAAAATCAAAACTATTACCCTACAGACTTTTTCGAAGGAAATAATTTTCCATAACAAAAAGAAACTTCAACAATCCGATTGTTAAACATACAACCAAATTGAAAAGTACGCAGATGAGTGTTAAAAATGCTTTTTCCCTGAAAAAGACCCAAAATTAGGTCATTAATTCGATAAAAAATAGGCCGAGGAACTTTTTAGCAGAACAAAAAAACGAGGAGAAAATAAAAATACAAATTGTAGGATTAAATCAAACACTGAAAGCATCATTGAAGAAAATTCCACGCAGCAAAAAAACGGTTACAACTAAGCCGAAAACAGATAAGCAGACAGACAATTGGCCGATAATTTTATTGAAACAGAACATTTCCCATTTGAAAAAAAAGGTCCTGGTCAGATTCGAACCCAGAACCTTTACCGTCCCAGACATATTCGTTACCTCCAGGATAAGTTGGCCGGGAACGCTTATAAGTTTCACTTATGAACCAAGATACCACTGAATCAAGAGATTCTGTTAAACAAGTTGTTAACCCGGAAAAAAGTCTATAATCCAATTTGATAACGCTTGCTAATCGCAAGCGTAATAACTAGCTGTCATTCAATCTTTAAATAATGAGAGATCTTTCCAGTCTTATATCGTCTTTAAACAATTGAGAATTTCCAAGCGCTGCGGCGATATTTTTCAAAAACCAGATCCAATTCCATGTAGGAGGTTGTTAACGGTGGAAGAATCTAATTTCAGATAGAAAACTCATGCTTTTTAACTGTAGACACATTTGTATATACCTTATGAATTAGACGCCCTGTGATGCGGGATACTAGAAGCTTGTCATCTATTTTAAATTCAACAACAGCGTTCAAACTTTGATTCCTTTTGTCGAGGAGATTATCTAGGCCTTCGGCTTGTTTCACTGTTCTTGGAAAACCATCTAAGAGGAACCCAGATTTACATGCCTCCTAAACAAAAATAAAAATCAATTTCTGAACAAACATAAATGGTGTTTTTGATGTCCGATCATTCCAACCTTGTCTAAATTAGTGTTGATCAAATCAATAACAAGATCATCAGAGACAAGTTGCCCGGCATCCATGACTTTTTTTACTCTGGAACCCAGTGCTGATCCAGAGGTCACTTCAGCTCGGAGCATATCGCCAGTGCTGAGGTGACATACATTATATTTCTGAACTAGCCAGGGCGCCTGGGTTCCTTTTCCAGCCCCGGGTGGACCCAGTAAAATTGCCCGTACATTATTCTCCTTTCTCCGCCCTGTTGAGAAAACCATAACTGCCTGTAATTTTAACAGTTATTTAATCACAGTCAACCAAAGCAAAAAAAAACAGCGAGCCCGTTTGATTCTGAAATTATCAACATAAAATTTAGCTTGCATTATATCATACTGAATTTGAAATTCAACCGAACGACAAACTGTAAAACATTCTGTGTGCTACTCAGTTGACAAAAAACTAAAAAATTGTAACGTTCGCCCGGAAATAACATAACGACGGAAAGTACAACGGAACCCTATAACGATGGGCTAGCGTCAAGATCAAATCCTACGTGCTTATCACCGTCTCTACTGAAGTCAATTCAACGTAGGCTTTCCTAACATTGCGTCAACGGACGTGATACCGTCTAAAGGCTATCAGACAAACGATTCGTATTAACTAGCTAAAAGTAAGAAAAGCAAACTCATAGCTGGCTCTCAGTATCCCCAGACCACGAGGCCACTCCTTAAAACAGAAGTAATACTTCAATATTAATGTTACAATCGTTTTTGTTCAGTAGAGAAAAATGGATCTAGGACAACAAGCCGATGGGACTTCAAGTCGAAGTTTACACTTTACAAGCATCTCAAAACATTATTTTTCATCTGAAAAATTCTAGTTTCCAAATATTTTGGCAAGTTTAGTTCATTTTAATTGTTATTTAAGACAATGCTCCACAAAGGAGCGGCATCCGTTAGTTACATCAGTCAGATTTCAAAATGCATAAATTATCAACATGAAAAAACGCCTTCGTCAACGTTATCGCAAATTTTCTTCAGGACAGAAAAATTTTCACGGAAAGTAATTCTCAGCGTTCGAACTTGCTATGCATTAACCAAGGTGTTCCTCAGGGAACAGTTCTTGGCCCGCCGCTTTTCAATACAGTAAGCTATGATTTGGATTTGGAGAGTACAAACAGTGCTAGAATTATAAAGTTTGCGGACGATGCAAACTCTGTGATAGCGGGGTTCGGCTCGGTCGAAAACACGATGAAAGTTTTGGAGGAAATTAAAACTTGGTGCTCCACAAATAACTTCATACTCAACGAGGGAAAAACAAAACTGATGACTGTCAAACCGAATGACATTAGTTTAGTACCACAAGCTTTTGATGGTATTGAGCAAGTGGAAGAGCTTAAAATTCTCGGAGTATTATTTGATAGCAGGCTTACGTTTTCATCGCACATCAAAAGTTTATGCAAAAAAGTAACCAGCAGTATATACCTTTTGTATAGACTAAAGACATTTGGTATGAACATCTCTGCCCTTGATATTTTATACAAAATTTTGGTGCAGAGTAAAATTACTTACGCATTACCGGTATGGGCATGTGCCAATTCGACCGAATTGGCCGATGTGGACAAAGTTCAGCGCAGGGCTCTTAAACTTGGTGTTACTTCTACATTTACTCCAATTTTCGAGCTCATAGAGAACCATGACAACAAACTATTACAGTCAAGTTCAAAACAAGACCATATTCTTCATTCAAAATTGCCAAAACGAGAAACTTATGCAGAAAACAGACTTAGAGAAAAAGCAGTTGCAGCACACGAAAAATTAGAAAAACATTTCAAGCTTTTTCCAGCCAGAGCCTTAAGAAACAAAAACTTTCTATAAACTTTTGTTTGCTTTTGTTCTATCACGAGTAAGATAGATGTGTTTCTATCTTAATTTATTCTTTCTTTCTTTCTTTCTTTCTTTCTTCTTTTAATTTTCAACTTTCCTAAACATCAATTGGAGGCTTAGATTTTTTGAAAAATACAACTGGTTAAGATAATGAAATTGTAAAATTCTTCAAAACAGTCTTTAAAGTAATCATATTTAATGACCTTTTGAGAAAATGTTTGACTTGAAGTCCCTTATATTACGATTCAGCTTGAAGTCCCGTCGGCTTGATGTCCAGCACCCATTCATGACAATGAATCACTTAGAATTGTCATCCGCTAAAAATATCAGACATTTTTTGAAATGCTTAAAATATAAACGAGAAAATTGCCGCCCTTTTTTCAATTTTCCTCAACATCAGTTGGAGGCCTAAAATTTAACTCCAATAACTACAGAAAAAAGATCATGAAAATTGTGAAGTCTTCATAAAAAGTTTTCAAATAAATCATAATTCATGACTTGATGAGAAAATTTTCGGCTTGACGTCTAATTTTACAATTCGACCTGAGGTACCATCGGTTTGATGTCCGGGTCGACAAAAACGTTACTGTTCTCCGGCTTCGACCAGAACGCTCAAATTATCTTAATTACATGCAGAAATAGTGAGCTCATGGCTGGGTCTCAGTATCCTCAGACCACGAGGTCACTCCTAAAAACAGGGCTACTACTACTTATTATATTACTATTGTTTTTGTTCAGTAGATAAAAATCATCATCTTCATCGAAGATGGATCAACCCTTCCCCCCAACTCCTAGCTTCTCATCCTTGCAAAATGAATTCAGATGTTAATTAAATTCAACTCAGGGCATACTAGGGAAGCTGAATCCGGGGAAATAAGTGTGACATTCGACCAGAATGGCCAAAATGCAGTCTCTGCAGAATTCAGGATTTTAGCAGTGAACCTTCCGGATTGGCGATTTAGAACGGATAAGGACGTTATTTGAATGATTGGCCAAACGGTGAAGGCTAGAAGATTCTGGAATTCTAAATTTTAAATTTTCGAAGTGATGACGTAACATTTCTGAGAAATGTTAAAACGGCCATTTTGGCTAAAATAGCAGAAAGAAACAGAACAACTTTTATCTGCGATTGCGAACAGTACGAAAATCGAGATTAGAGAACGACAACAAAATACAGAATAGCAGAGAGTGTTCCGAGTTGCAACTATTGTGCTGCTACAATAGTTGCAAGGCCCTTGCCAACAACGGTGAAGGGTGAGAACCAGCCTTCCGGATTGGTGTGAAATTGAACTTGAGGAGCTTGATTCACTGGATTCAAGAATCCGGAAGGGTTTCGGGACTGGAACTTTTAGCCTTTTATATAAACTTTTAGCTTCTTGTCATGTCCTGAATTGAATTTAATTAACAACTGGATTCGTTTTGATAAGGATGAGAAGCTAGGAGTTGGGGGAAAGGGTTGATCCATCTTCGATGGAGATGATGATTTTTATCTACTGAACAAAAACAATAGTAATATAATAAGTAGTAGCCCTGTTTTTAGGAGTGACCTCGTGGTCTGGGGATACAGAGACCCAGCCATGAGCTCACTAATTTCGCATGTAATTCAGTTAATTTGAGCGTTCTGGTCGAAGCCGGAGAACAGTAACAGTTTTGTCAGCCTGATGTAAGAAAGACCACCGAAAAGTACTGGCTTGGTAGAGACGGTGAAAAACATGCAAAGCTCTGTTTAGACGCTAGCCAGTCGTCTTAAGACTTAGTTTTGTTATCCGTCGATATGTATCTTCCGGGCGAATGTTACATGTATGTTTTTATGGCGCTCCTGGGTGTTATTCTTTCATAACATCATGACCGGCGGAACCGTTAACGAGCACTCCGCGCCGAGCGGATGCTCACATTAACGCCCTTAATAGGCCTAAACTGCCGGGGCGGAAGGGTAGTTCGGAACGCGGAAGCCTTCCGGATTACCGTGAATAGTTTTTTAACCTAGTTAAGACCGAAAATTCACGAACCAGGAAGGGTGGGGGGAATCATGAACCCCTCATCCCCTGAGTGGTTTGTGACCAAAAACACTTAAAGATATCAGCAAAACCAAACAAAAAGTAGTATAGTACCCAAGAAAAACAAAAAACATAAAAAATAACCGAAAAAACCAAAAACAGTAAAAAAGTAAAAAATCAGTAGAAATCATCCCCCCAGACAAGATGTGATTCAACCCCCCCGTTTGTTGTTGATAGATATATTGTTGTTACAGGCATTTATATCAGTCAGGATCGTTACGATCAATTTTGTAGCCCGTTTGTGAGGCTTGTACTGTAGGGTTATTTGAGCATTTAAGCACGTTAATGATAAATTGCGCTCAAACCGGAAGGGTCAGCTGATTTGCACTCAATTCGGAAGGGTCTTGGGTGAAGACCGATCCGGCAAGCAGTTCAAGGAGCAACAAGAAGGGGCTCAACGACAACAACAATCGACTGTTGGGTATCGTTAACAAGTTTTGTATCCCTTTTGGTACAAAAAGTAAGATAGTAATCTGTGGGGGGCTCGACAGTGCTGCACTGTAGTGACCCTTCACCGAACTGCGAATATCCGAGTTAAGCACCTTAATTCGGATAATAAACAAACCCGGAGGGGTATAGTATTACTAATATTATTATTCATATAGCCTATATTGGTAGTCATATATCGTTTTTCAGTGAAAAACAACGAAAACAGACCGGTTTTTAGGGTCAAAATAGCGATATTTTGATCCCCCCACAAGTCGCGATTTTTGAAATATCGATATTATTTGAAACGGAAAAAAGCGCTAAGTTAGTGTGTTACATCGTAACTGCACTACTGTAATAAGTAGAACCGGTTAACTTTAGTTCGGAAGTGGTTGGAACTAGTTTGGTACCAAAAACCAAATTTTCCCAATTTTTGATAGTAAGAAACACTAAAAATTTAGAAAATTTTTTGAAATTTTTGAGGTAGGACAGTAAAAATAGTTGTTCGGACAACGTCCACTAGTGAATCTACAAGTCTTAAACTCCGCTACCCGAAAGCCTTCCGGGTTGCAGAGAAATCGAACATAACGTGTTTGATTTGGTGGATTCATCAATCCGGAGGGGTCCAGGTAGCATAGTTTTTCGCAAATTTTTTCTACAAAAGCGTTTTAGATCGGGTCTTTTGCATTGAACTAGAAGAGTATAGGCCTTGTGAGCTCAGATCAATAATTTTTAGGTCGAAAGGACCAGATTTGCGGAAAAAGTTAGGCGGAACCTATAAGAGAGAAAATTTTTGAATTTGGAAAAAAGACGTTTTGGTTAATAACTTTGGAACTACAGAGCATATCGAGTCAATCTTGGTACCATTAGATCAGAAATTAGCTGAACTTACTAGTAGGAAAGAGAATTACTCGAAA